CCCTTTGAATGTTAAATTCTATTTTAATCCTAGGATTAAGTCAGCCTCTCTCATAGCTTTTTGAAATGGGTGGGAAGCTGATAGTCTGAATTAGGTGCATAGTGTGTGTGTGTCTGTGTGTATATCACACCCAACACACACACAGATTCCAGGGCGGCAGGCAGGGGGATGGAATAAACAGTCAACGAAGGTAAATGATATCCAAAGATCAAGATCTTTCACAAATTCTCAGTGATACTGCACAGAACATTCTCAGTGTTTGTTTATATTCCATTGTATCTTCAGTTAATTAAATTTCTTATGATCATTTGGATATAAAAGAGTTTGTCATGCATTCCAATCTTTCTAGGAAAGGACAATTCATCATCCACAATATTCCCGAATATTATCTCTGTGTGAGTCATATAAAAATCATGCTGATAGGGTGCTACAACTATAATAATTTACATTGTGCTTTATTTCCCATATACTTATGTCTCTTAATCCTTAGCAATTCTACGAGGGTCTCTTTCACACAGTACATATTTTCAGAGAGAGTCAGAAGCTTGGAAAAGAACACAGCTAACATTTAAGGGAAGGAATGAGCCCATGAACCCACTCTGTTGGCTGTTAGTCTCATGCCCTTTAACTATAATATACGGAAGGAAGGAATGAGCGAATGCAGGGACACATGACTTCCTTGAGTTGGGAGTTGAGTTGTCATGTTTGTTGAGTGTATCACTGATGTACAGACTCCTCAGAGGCATTGCCTATCCACTTATTCTTTCTGAACCCTTTCTCCATATCTTGTATTATCAAACCTGATGTGTCACCTCCTTCTCCCAGCTAACCAAACCACCTCAGTAGATTTCCATAATGCCTGGTATGAAGACAGAAAGCTTTAATGTGGTTTCATAAGAGCTGCTGTGGCCTGACCCCAGGTTGTCAGCTGCCCAGGGCTTCTGCCATAGCTTCCCTCTACACAGCAAGTTTTCAGCAGGTATAGACCATCAGATCTCAGCCTAAACATTCCCTTCTTCAGGAGCCTTCCGGGAGACACTCAGACTCATCTAGGTCTCAGCACACTCAACAATTTTCTTTCACAATACTTGCCACTCTAGCAATTTTACTTTTTTTTTTTTAAAGATTTATTTACTTATTTGAAAGTCAGAGTTACAGAGAGAGAGAAAGAGAGAGAGAGAGAGGTCTTCCATCCAATGGTTCACTCCCTGGATGGCCGCAACTGCTGGAGCTGTGCCAATCGAAGCCAGGAGCCAGGAGCTTCTTCCAGGTCTCCCACGCTGGTGCAGGTGGGCCATCTTCTACTGCTTTCCCAGACCACAGCAGAGAGCTGGATCAGAAGTGGAGCAGCCGGGTCTTGAACCTGCACCCATATGGGATGCAGATGCTTCAAGCCAGGGCGTTAACCTGCTGCACCACAGTGCCAGCCCCGCAATTTTACTTTTATTGGCATAATTATCTGGTTGATAACTCGCTTCATTAGCTTAAGCTCCCTGGGCACAAAGGATTGTCTTATTTTTCATTTCACTTTATCCTTAACCTCTAGCTCTTTGCTTGGCATGCAATGTAGAAAGTGCTCAGTAAATACTTTAAAATAAGACTTCATTGTTATCAAATGGTTAAATTGACAATTTTAGTTCAAATTAATTAAAGTTACATAAACTTACAAGTTAATTCCTCAGTCACACAGTCACATTTCCTGTGCCAGATAGTGACATGTTTCTTCTCCTGGATTGGATGGTGCATTTCTGTATAACAGAAAACTCTAGTGGACTACTCCAGATGTTTGTATCTTGCTCATGCCCAATGTTGCCAAAAGTTAGATTTTTCTTAAAAAAAAAAAAAAAGAGAGAGAGAGAGTCGAGGCCGGCGCTGTGGCATAATAGGCTAAGCCTCTGGCCGCAGCGCCAACATCCTATATGGGTGCTGGTTTGTGTCCTGGCTGCTCCTTTTCTGATCTGACTCCCTGCTGATGGCCTAGGAAAGCAGTAGAAGATGGCACAAATCCTTGGACCCCTGCACCCACCTGGGAGACCTGGAAGAGGCTCCTAGTTTCTGGCTTCAAATTGGTGGCGCTCTGGCCATTGTGGGCATTTGGGGAGTGAAACAGAGGATGGAAGACCTTTCTCTCTCTCTCTCTCTCTCTCTCTCTCTCTCTCTCTCTCTTTACCTCTCTGTCTGTAACTGCCTCAAAGATAAATAAATGAAATCTTTTTAAAATTTAGCTCAAAATCTGAAGTTATTTAACAAAAATGTCAAGATGCTGTTCAGCATCTGGGGAGTCTTTTCTGTAAATAGAAGAAATCTGAAAATGCACCAGCAGAGAATTCTAGACGAATTTTTCACTCACTCATTTTCATTCAAAAGATAGTTAATGAGTGCCTACTGTATTGACATGGCTATATGTAAAAGAACAGTGTTTTTAGAATTTTTCATTTTTCATTTTAGAGAGGCAATATAGCTTGCTGAAAGATACAAAAGATTTTGAGATCTTGGGTTCAAATATTGATTGCATTGCTCACAATGGTAAGAACTGAATATCTCTGAGCTTTCATTTTCTCAAATAGGGATAAAAGTGATACCTACTTGATAGGATTATTGTGAATATTAAATAAGATAAATGTGGGATATTTTTATGCATATCAAATTCATTCTATGATTCCTCATTAAATTGCTAGAAATATGTTTTTAAAAAATCTCTTTTCTCCAAATTCTAATCAAATATACCAACCTTTTCTGTTTTTAAATAAATTGGGTTGGCTGATTCCTATGTTCCTGTTAAGACATAAAGATGGACTTGCTCAAGGATCTAAGGTCAATTTTTGACATCCATTCCTTTGGTTCAATTTTTCTATTTGCAAAATGAACACAGAGCCATTGAGAGTTTCCAAAAAGGTGCAGGAAGTTTGCTTGGCACACAGTTGGAAGTGATGATGATTTAATTGCCTACCAGCTTCAGGATGCTGGGAGAACTCTGGAGGACACAGGAACCACTTTTTCATGAGGCCTCCGGGTAAGATGGTGAACTGACTTTTGGGCTGCCATTCAGGCTGCAGACTAAAATTCTCATTCAACTTTGGCAGTTTATTGAGGATCATGTGGAAGACCTTGTGCTAGTAATTGTGGATTCAGAAATGAAGACGACACAGGCCCTATCATTAAGGAGAGAGAGAGGAAGTTTATCATAGTCTAGAGAGGGAAGAAGGTTATCAGAAGAAAGATGGTGCATCAGCTCAGTTCTGGAAAAAGAGTAATAAATAGGTGGACAAGAGAAGGAAGGCAGTTTTAGAAGCAAAAGCACCATACATCTGTGTATGGTGGTGAGAAAGAGAAGGAGAGAAAAAGTGTTTGTGTTTGCTGGAGGTCTGGAAATGGGCAGATGGTTGTGGACAATGGGGCTGTAAAGGCAGGAAAGGGTCAAGTTATGGAAGGTATCTTAAGCCAAACAAAGGAGCTTGGATTGAGGGCTGTGGAGAGCCACTGAAGAATTTTAGTGTGAGTAACACAGTCAATAAGCATTTCAGAAAGATCACTCTTACTTGCATGGAATAAAACTGAATTGGAGAAGAATTGAGGCAGGGGGAACTGACAGGAGACTGATGGGGTGATCCAGGAAAGAAATGATCTTGGTTTGAGCTAATGTAACAGGAAGGATGGATTCGTTTTATCAACCAAGTGTATAAAGATGGCGAGTGTGCAGGAGAATCAATAATTTCCTCTAGATTCCTGGCTTGGGCAAAATGTGTGGATAGCATTTCATCAGTTAGAATTCAGAAGGAAGAGAAAAGATGAGATCAGCTTTAGACCTGAGGTGGGAGGGAGAGATGAGGACCATGTAGATAGGAGAATTGCCCACGAGGAAGCCAAGCAGAGATGTGCAGAAAGCAGAGAGTAACATCCGTTGGAAAATCAGAAGAGGGAACAGACTCTGATTATGGGGAGGTGGCTAAAACCTCAGGAATGCTGGAATAAATTCATTTATTGACACGAAGTTCAAACCAGCTAAATGAATAAAGAAAACAATGAAGTCACTCGGGGAAGAAGGCTTGGGATGGGACTTGTTTTCTCTCCAGGTAACCATAAATGTCACCAGGTGACAACTACTTGATCTGATTGTGTTAGATTAACAATGGGAAAGCTGGCAAATGTTATACAATTCAACTCTCTACAGCGTGGTAGGATTTAAAAAATGCTCTTTTGCTACCTTTGCTGCTGAGTTGGGTTGTAGCATGTTGCATCTCAGTGATTACATAATCTGATGGTCAAACAACCAAAACTGATAAAATAAAACAGCAGAACAGGTGGGTTTCCTGCCTCAGCAGTAACATGGATACAAACATGCTGCAAAAAGTAAAAGCAACTTCTTCGGAAGTGCTGACTTACTCCATGGCTAGGTCCATTCTTCTCAGATTTGGAGTCCCTTAATCCTGAATCCATAATCCTAAATCCTTAACCCATATTTGCAATATGCTCAGGAGCAGTATAAAATTTTAGTAAAATGGGGTCTATTTTCTGTCAGAGAAGCAAAAGCTTGCATCCCTATTGCTACATATTTCTGCTCATGCTACCTAGTCCTAATCTCTACCTTCCTTCTACCTTCCAAATGCCAGGCTGCTGCCAGAATGGATAGAGTGTTGGCAGGAAAATGCTCCCTCATCATCCGCGCTAACAATGCCACAGAGTCCACTGCATAGTCTACCTTTGCTGCAATCTGAGATACTCTTTGGATGAATGACTTAAGTGCATACTGGGAGTCTAAATTGCGCAATGGAGACCATCATTGTGTCTCGGAGAGGAGAATTCAGCCAGAAGCCACACTTGGTGTTTGCAATTTTTCTTTCAACCCTAAAAAATGTGCCACTTTTGTAAGGAACTCTCTCCAAAAGCAAACTGTACTAGTATTTTTGCATGTTTTTACTGAACAAGAGTGTTCATTGGTACCTGGAAAGCACACAAGAAGCATAAAAGAAAAAGAGTTTACCATGCTTGTTTTCTGACATCACAAATTTAATGCATGTCCAGATGTGCGAACAAATCAGAATGATTAGTATGGACTGAGCTCTAGTTCTTCTGTCGTTGTAAAGAATGCAGAGTAAGGAACAAGGCTGTGTACCTCCTCTAAATTTAGGGGCTGCTGGGAAGTGCTCTGACTTCTGCTTGTATGACGTTCTGGAGATCCTCATGAGGAATCAACAACTCATCAAACTGGGTGATGGCTGACTTCCAAACTGTGTTCCATCTTGCCCAAAACCATGAAGAATAAAAATCAAAACCATTCGTAGCATCACAGGAAGGAAGGAAAGAACTGTGGATAAAGGGAGAAAGTCAAGGTGCATGTTTTGGGCCAGAAGTCACAACCAAAAAGAACAATTGGTGAATCTCTCTTTATAAGATAACTTTATGGTGGTGCTTCGTAAGCTATGAGGCAGTACTATTACTCTCCCTCTTTTACGGATGGAGAAGATGGGGCACAGAGAGACCAGGTCCCTTCTTCACTTGCATGCTTCTAAGTCAGTGAGAAGGAAAAGTCCATCTGAATTCAAGTCTTTATTTATACTAGACAAGAGAAGGATAGTACAGAATGGAGCACAAATCCACACTTTTGAAAGAGCCTAGATTTTATAATCGATGATAGGTAAACAAAGGCTCACTCTTGGGGTGGCTTGAATGTACTGAAGACACCATTATGTCAATAGAATCTGGCCCATTAGGGCTTGCAAGGGGCATGTGCTTGGATTTAAGTACAATGTACATGGGGAGAATCTTCTGTTCCACAGACACGCACTCCTGTCCTATCCTTTTTCTTAACTTTTATTTAATAAATATAAATTTCCAAAGTACAGCTTTTGGATTACAGTGACTTCCCCCACCCCATAACTTCCCTCATACCCGCAACCCTCCCATCTCCCGCTCCCTCTCCCATTCCATTCACATCAAGATTCATTTTCAATTATCTTTATATACAGAAGATCAATTTAGTATATATTAAGTAAAGATTTCAACAGTTTGCACCCACACAGAAACACAAAGTGTAAAGTACTGTTTGAGTACTAGTTATAGCATTAATTCACATTGTACAACACATTAAGGACAGAGATCCTACATGGGGAGTAAGTGCACAGTGACTCCTGTTGTTGACTTAACAATTGCCGCTCTTGTTTGTGGCATCAGTAATCACCCTGGGCTCTTGTCATGAGTTGCCAAGGCTGTGGAAGCCTTTTGAGTTTGCCAACTCGGATCTTATTTAGACAAGGTCATAGTCAAAGTGGAAGTTCTCTCCTCCCTTCAGAGAAAGGCACCTCCTTCTTTGATGGCCCATTCTTTCCACTGGGATCTCACTTGCAGAGATCTTTATTTAGGTCTTTTTTTGTCCTATCCTTTTTTAAGAGATATATATATATATATATATGTGTGTGTGTGTGTGTGTGTGTGTGTGTCTTAAAATCAAAGTTACATAGAGAGAGAGAGAGGGAAAGGAAGAGAGAAAGGGAGATCTTCCACCATGGGTTAATGTCCCAAATGCACACAAAAGTTAGGGCTGGGTCAGGCCAAAGCCAGAAGTCAAGCACTCCATCCAGGTCTCCTTTGTGGGTGGCAGGGATCAAAAGCTTCAGTTACCATCTTCTGCCTTCTTAGGCATTGGCAGAAAGGTGAATCCTGAGTGGAGCAGCTGGGACTCTAAACTGGCACTCCCATATAGGATGCAGCTACCCAAGTGGCAACTTCACCTGTTACACCACAGCTCCCACCTATCCCTGTCCCTTTTTGAGTGCAGTGATGACAAAGGAGAATAGCAAAGCGTGCAGACCTCTGCCAACACTGACAATATTATATTGCAGAACAGAAGCTGTAGGAATATTAAGATTGGGCCACACTTTTGCTTTGACTCTGGAAAGAGTCACACAAAGGAGCCAGAAGTTGAATCACACAAGGGAGCCAAGAGTTGAGTCATGACTGTTCCTGAGTCAGTGCAGGAATCCTGAAATAGGAGCTGATGACTTCAGTGGGGGCTGCAGTACCAGAAGTCTTCCTCAAGGACACTCTTCCTCCTTGCTGGTGCACATGGGCTTTGATGTTCTTCAAACACACCAGCCTGATCCACCCCTCGTGGTCTTGTTGCCAATCTTCCCACAACTTCACCTAGAAGGATCCTTCTTGGCCTCTGGGTCTTAATTTTGATGTCCTCTGTTTAGGGAGACACTATCTAATCAAATTAGCAGCCTTTCCCCACTGCCCTGCACTAATCACTCTCAGCCACATAATGCTTTGTGTTCCTATAGCACTTAAATTATCATGATCTGTTTATTTATAGATGAAATACACATGTTATAGGTCTCCCCTTTCTTTGGAATGTAGGCTCCCTGTTTCAGAGACATCATTTTTTGCTCAGTGCTATGCCTCAGTACTCAGTGCAGCACCCTATATAATAAACATTCAAAAAGTCCTTTTTTTGAATGAGAGAGTATATGATTTAATCAATGATTGGCATACAGCTGGTTGCTATAACGGGTATGACTGACTTTATTATGCTGCTAAGACTTCCATGGCTGGAGGAAATGTGTAATCCTAGATGTCTCAGGTTCAGACAATCTATTCAGAAGCTAACTGAGAGGGAGAAAGGAACAATCAGAGGAAGTACCCCCTATGGGCCAAGATCATCACATGCTAAATCATGCCACCGTGGCAGGTGAAGAAATGTAGGCATAGGCCACCTAACTAGCACTTGCTATAGAAAGTAGAGGTGTGCAGTTGGTCTCAGACTCTAACCTTTTTTCAGTGCAAAATGAGGGCCAGAGAGGGAGGCCATGCCCAGTATAAGTGTGTCCTTATTGTCCCTACTTTACAGATCAGACATAAACGTTTTGGTTATTTGCACAAGGTCACTCAGCTAAAAAGTAACAGGCTAAATCCAAAGTTTACACTCCCAGTCATCGGGATATAGAGATATCTTCAAGACATGATGACAAGGAGATTCTCCAAAAGAGGCAGTAGTGAATTTGTGACTATCAGGCTGGCTGGAAACAGGGGAAGCTCTCTCCAAGCTGAAGATATGTGCCTGAGCTAAAACTTGCTATGTTTTGTCTTCCTGCTGTCTTCACTGATTTGCCTGAAATCCACATATTCTTGGAAATGTTACTGCCTTTGATTTCTGGATAAATGCCACAGCGGAGACTGGAATAAGCTGTGTTCATGTGGGCCATTGTTTCTCCTACAGCCATTGTCTTCACAGTCTCTGAGACAGACTCATGGAGTCCTAAGTGTGTGTCCTCCGACATGTGCATGGCTCGTTGGTTCAGCCTGGAGGTTCTGACCTACGAGGGATAGAGATAGTGCCCACTGAGTGAGCACTGGTAAAGGGGTACCCATTTGCGTTTCTCCAGCAATAATTACATAGCTCCCAGCAGCCTCTGGGCTCACACCCCATTGCCATGTAATCGCATCTAATCCCACTGAGCTCTACTCAAAATAGCCATAATTGGTGGTTTTATCCAAATCAATAAAGACAGCTTCTACATATTGATTATCATCCAGGGTATAAAATCATCATCAGTTACCTGGAAAAGAGAAGCAGCCTGCCAAGGGAAAAGGTCAGATATTCCATCTGAACAGGAGAGGGAAGGGGGAGGTGGAACCAGTGAGTTTTAAGGTAATAGTATCAAATTACCTGAAAATGCACACAGTATATTCTTGTAATTTGCAGCAACAGAGAGCCCAGAAATAGGTCAATCATTTAAGTGAGTCTTCAAGTCTTCTCTCCGAGTCGCGCTGAGCTAGCTCACATCAGCAGTCTTAAAGGGGCTGAAGCCAACCAAGCTCGAGAGAGTTGCAGGGCTCCTTCCTCCTGCATTTTACAACCCAATCGTGGCACAGTTGCAGACCAAGAGACAGCTCAAGTGGAGTTATTTTATGCAGTTCATGATCAACAGAGATTCTCAGCCACTGTTGTGAATGATTATGGGAAAAGACAAGGCAAGATGGTGCCTAGATCTCTCCCTCTGAGAACCCTGGGACATGGTGGAGGGGACGAGGAGCCTGCCTCATTCTGAAATTTACATTTCTAACTGCAGAATTTAAAAATGAACTGATTCTGTTATATAATATAAGATGAAGCTCATCATTCTCTTCTTCTTTCTAGAAAACATTGAAACAAAACTTGCATAAAAATATTCAATACCATTAATAGAAAACACAATAAAAGCAAGAAAATCCACAGCTACTCTAATACACGAGAACTGTTGGTGGCCAATTCCCAGCTCTCTTCCTCTTCTGTTACATGCAGACGACAACAATGACAACACATCCCACATGGAGCTTTTATGAGAAAAACACACACACACACACACACGCACACACACACACATAATAGGAGCTCAAAAACAACCCCAGAATTTCACTTTTAAAAATTTATTTTTGACGGTTCTCTTAAAATCCTTGTCTACATAACTATATCATTTTGAAATATCTAGATTATTGCAGAAATATAATTGGTATCACCTTTATCTTATTCCTCCTAGTTTTCTTTGCAAATATGCCACTTTTAGAGCTGCATAAATAAATCGGATGGGTATTAATTTATCTCCTATTGTGAGACACCACATTCCCATGATGGATGATGTTCTAATGAATGTTCTCTGGTGCAGATATTCTTCTTCTTCTTCTTCTTTTTTTTTTTGACAGGCTGAGTGGACAGTGAGAGAGAGAGACAGGGAGAAAGGTCTTCCTTTGCCATTGGTTCACCCTCCAATGGCCGTCGCGGCTGGCGCGCTGCTGCCAGCGCGCCACGCCTATCCGAAGGCAGGAGCCAGGTGCTTCTCCTGGTCTCCCATGGGGTGCAGGGCCCAAGCACTTGGGCCATCCTCCACTGCACTCCCTGGCCATAGCAGAGAGCTGGCCTGGAAGAGGGGCAACCGGGACAGAATCTGGGGCCCCGACCGGGACTAGAACCCAGTGTGCCGGCGCCACAAGGTGGAGGATTAGCCTAGTGAGCCGCGGTGCCAGCCCTATATTATTCTTTCTTTTAGATTATTTCCTCAGTGTGGAAAAATGGAATTTTATGTCAAAGTTATTGTAAAACCACAGCCACTGAAAGTGGAAAAGCTTAACCTGGATAGAGAAACCATAGCAAAGATTTGACTAGAGAGAGAGCAGTCAAAGTCAAAGATACTGCTGGAGAGTTAGGTAGAAAAATTAGTACAGTGTCCACTTAATAAATGAGAAAAAACTGAAAATACAGAGAGGAGTCTTAAGAATAGATGAATACCACAGTCAAAGAATAGATCTATGGCTGTCATCTGTCACAGGTGTTCGTAGGAGAAGAGTAGGCTTCTCAACTGTGCTTGAATTGCAGCTTGTTCTAGGCTGGATGGCTGCCCTGGGACAGAAGATGCGGAACCTAGGGAACATGAGGATATAGCGTGAGGGAACAGGCCTGTAGATAGCTGACTTTTCATAAAGATCAACTGTGACACATCCATTAATGAGCCCCAGGTTTTCATCTCTAAAAATGCCGAATTCCAGTGCTCCCATTTCATATGTCAGTTGCATAGGATCTCTGCCAGACAGAAGACTTTTACTCCAATGTCTTATTTCAAGGAAGGAAGAAGGGATAGATTTTACTCTTTACCTGCTCCACTTAATTCAATTTCATTATTGTAATTATCACTTTGGATAAGCTTCTAGGAGAAGTTTGGTTTATGAATAATGACTGAACTTTGTAATACAGTGAAGTGGCAAATAATACACAGGAAAAAAGGTAAAATTAGCAGAATAAAGGAATAAAATAAAACGAGATCAATCAAAGGCTAGTGTTTTACCTTTACCCTTCAAAGCCATAGAGCTGCTTACATTTGTTCTCATAAACTGAAGTGTTCCCAGATGGAACCTGAGCACTTGGTAGTCTTCCAAATAATATGGTTGCCAAGAAACAGGGCAGAGCCGAAGTTGCTGGATTGCTGCTGCTAGGCCCAGAGTTCCATCCTTAATCCCTGTGTCATCTCACTACACGCACTATGTGATCTATGTATCCATTCACATGACCTCAACTACACTCTATATCGATGATACCAGTGTTCACATCTCCAGTAAAGATCTCCCTCTAGTTCCAAGCAGGTAGAGATGGCCATCTCTCTGCCATCTCCAATTGAATATCCCTTGTACAACTACAATTCAGCTCAACTTCTGCCTTCCTCCATGTCTTATCTCCTACTTCATCCTACCTCCAGATGAAATTCCAGCTTGCTTCTCTTCTCTCTTTAAGTTTCTATGAGCCGGCACCGCAGCTCAATAGGCTAATCCTCCGCCTAGCGGCACCGGCACACCGGGATCTAGTCCCGGTCGGGGCGCGGGATTCTGTCCCGGTTGCCCCTCTTCCAGGCCAGCTCTCTGCTGTGGCCCGGGAGTGCAGTGGAGGATGGCCCAGGTGCTTGGGCCCTGCACCCCATGGGAGACCAGGAGAAGCACCTGGCTCCTGCCTTCGGATCAGCATGGTGCGCTGGCCGCAGCGCGCCAGCCGCGGCGGCCATTGGAGGGTGAACCAATGGCAAAGGAAGACCTTTCTCCCTGTCTCTCTCTCACACTGTCCACTCTGCCTGTAAAAAAACAAAAAGTTTCTATGAACAGGCTTACCATCCAACTAATCACCCAGAAAGACTTGGGATTTAATCTTCCCTCTTTCATTCTTTTTTTTTTTAAGCTCACTTGTTTTATCCATCTTCATATGTATCCATTTTTACCTTCTAACTATTACTAACTTACTACTTTATACTAATAGTCCCACAAATATGTGGGACTCTTCATTGTTATGGACAAGCCTGGAGAGTTCTTCCTCATTTTCTTGCTTTGGATAACTTTAACCTTCCCTGGGACTCAGCTTGTGTGTCATTTCCTCTGGCCCACTGTTTCTATTTTATTTTTTCTCGCACATTTAATTTATCCTACTGCTTGTAGGGAACTGTGTTAAGCATTAGAACCAAAATGGCAAATTAGACTGTCTCTGTGCTGAAGAACAGTGAGGGGAAGACAGGGAAACAGATATTACTCACAGAAAGAAGGGTTCTGAAATGAGAGTATTTCAAAAAGTTCAGGGAAAATGGAATTTAAAGGCAAATTTATTTTGGTGTAAAAACAGTTCAAGACTCATGCATACAAAGAGTTTTACAAAATTTGTGGAAAATATATTTTATAAAAAACTATGCCCAGACTATTTCCACAAACTTTTTGGAAATTCCATTTTCCACAAACTTCTATAAGTTCATTTGTGGAAAAGGAATGCGAGGAAAGAAAAAGAGAAGATTGTTTTATCTGGGGAGGCTGATAGTGAGTGAAGAATTCCAAGCAAATCGGTCAATGTGTGCAATAACAGGGAAGGAGGAAAGGGGCTGGATGAGTGAGGTTGTGGGTTGAACTGTGTTCCTCTAAAATGCACAAGTTGAGCTCCTATCCCCCCATACCTCACAATGGGGTCTTATTGGAGATATAGACATAATTAAGTTAAAATGAATTCACTGAGGTGGGCCCCCTTCACTGTGACTGTTGTCTCCCTCAGGACCAGTTCTTTTTGTTTAAGACAAACAGGACACCAATAAAGACGACTGCGCAAGTTACACCTGAGTGTTGGAAAGCTCACTGGGGCAGTGGCTGGAGGGTCAAGGAGCCTGATGGACCCAAGAAGGCATACTAATCATTCAGAGGCCCAGGGCTTGCAGGGTGGTTAGCGACTATGAAGCAGGTATGGAAACTTATCCATGAAGGAGGATTGGCAGCAGCTGGTGACCTGATAGGCTGTGCGAGTGAACAGTGAACGGTGCCGCCCAACTGCTTTCATTGTGTTTATCTTTACAGGATCTGCAGCGAACTGAGCCTATGCCTGAGAAAAACAAGGACAGAAGAAACAAACCAAAGAAAAAGCTGAGACAGACAGAGCCATATTTCCTCCCACAGTACCTCCAGCGTTGGTTTAATCCTTGGACCACAGCACAGATAATTATAATAATTAATAATCTTGATATTTCAGTGTTAAATAAACACACATACACACACACAGACTTCTTGGTTCTGTTTTTTTGGAGATCTTTGACTAATACAAATACTCTTCATTCTTCCCTCCCTCCTTCCCTTCATTCTTTCTTCCCTTTCTCCCTCCTTCAACAAATAACTTCCTAGCGCCACATCCAGGCAAGGTACACCTGAAGTGCTAGGGGTACATAGTAAACGAACAACAACAGACAACAACCTTGTTGTTCACTGAGCGAAATGCGTGCCGCCCAAGTCTCACAATCTCCACGTGGTAAGGGTTAGGGGTGCACAGAGCTGATTGGCATTGCCTGCTGTGCTTGAGGGAATTGGGAGAGTCTTGACAAATGTGACTCTTGGCAGTGAGTCTTGGAGGAAAGAGGGGAAGGCAACAAGGCTTGGAGTAGGAGAGGCTGTGGCATCCCCAGTGAAGCACAAACAGTACTATGACTGCCGAGGGAATGACTGCTATCTCAGGGCTCACAGACTCCAGGTGGGAAAGTTAGAACCATAGCCCAGACCTCTGATCTTGCAAGCTTGACATCTTGCCACTAAAATCACCAATTTGGTCCAAGATGTAAGAAATCTTTTGATTCCTGAGAAGAGAAAGGATTTTCCAAATTTGCTTTTCTCAATTAGAAAGGCTTAAAAAAAAACCCTAAGAAGATTCATGGGATTATCAGTGAATCTAAACTGAGAGAGCTTCAGTAGGGCAACAAGTGCTAATCATAATTCTTTAAATTGTTGAACCTCACTGTGGACAACTGAGCAAACTTTTTCAAGGCCCTGGCTTTCAGTTTCTTTGTGAGACAGCATCAAATGGTGGAAAGGCTGCAAAATTTAGACATGAGTTGGTGCTCAGTGACTCATTGGCTGAGCCACCTGAGATCATTCACTTTGTTTCCTGAGCCTCTTTTTACTGCCGGAGAAGTACTCACTCTCTAGCCCGCAGTTCAACTTCCTCCAGGGAAGCCACAGTCTGGAGTTTAGCAGGAACGTGCATATGTGCAATGAGAGAGAAAGAGGAAGTGGCTCTCTCCATTCCCTGCAGGGGCGGGCACCAGAGCTACCAGTCAGAGCTGAAATGCAAGTTTGAGAAATCCCAGCATAGCTACACCTAGCATCTTGAGAGAAGAAAAGAATTCAGTTAAATAAAAGTATTCCAGTTGATAGCCTTTGGCCACAGCAAAGCTATTCTTGTCCAAAAGAAAAAAATAAGCACAATTCCAGGTCATAGAATATCACAGATGAAGAGTCAGAGGGCATGAGCGCAAGGAGAAGACTTACAGATCATTGAGTCAAAAAGTCCGTCATTGTACAGAGGGGGAAGGTAAGACCTGAGAGTCTAGGGGACTCAGTTAGCCAAGCGTTGCTAAGCAGCTCATTGCCTGATTATTAGACACCCTAGAGAAATCTGGTATTGGAAAAAAATCTCAACCTCATTTGAACAACTGGTTTACTCCTTATTTTGGGGGCATGGAAAACCCAATTGTAAATGGGGTTGCCAGATAAGTTGGTGAACATTCAGATAAAGCTGAATTTTTGATAAATGGTAAGTAAATCTTTTCATATAAGTATATCCCAAATGCAGCATAAATATAGAATACCAAAATTATTTAATTCCTAATCAGAAATTCAAATTTAACTCAGCTTCCTGTTACTATTATTTTTTCTATCTCTGACAATCCTAATTATAGATTGTCTTTTTTTATCTCCCATCTTTTCTCTGTTAGGAAGATTAAAGACAAACATGTCATCAATGCTTTCCAACAGGACTTTATGGTGTACACTTGACTTTATCTTTCTTGTTTAATATTTGTATTCTCGGGCTGGCGCCGCGGCTCACTAGGCTAATCCTCCGCCTAGCGGCCCCGGCACACCGGGTTCTAGTCCCGGTCGGGGCGCCGGATTCTGTACCGGTTGCCCCTCTTCCAGGCCAGCTCTCTGCTGTGGCCCGGGAGTGCAGTGGAGGATGGCCCAGGTGCTTGGGCCCTGCACCCCATGGGAGACCAGGAAAAGCACATGGCTCCTGGCTCCTGCCATCGGATCAGCGCGGTGTGCCGGTCGCATCGCGCTGGCCGCGGCGGCCATTGGAGGGTGAACCAACGGCAAAGGAAGACCTTTCTCTCTGTCTCTCTCTCTCTCACTGTCCACTCTGCCTGTCAAAAAAAAAAAATATTTGTATTCTCTTCTCTGTGTTTTCTTTATTAAAAAATCTAATTGTTGGGGCCTAAGTTTTGGCATAGCAGATAAAGCCACCGCCTGTGATGCTGGGATCCCATGTGGGCATTGGTTCTTGCCCTGGTTCCTACATTTCTCATCCAGCTCCCTGCTAATGGCCTTGTAAAAGCAGCGGAAGATGGTCCAAGCACTTGAGCCCTTGCCACTCACATGTGAGACCCAGATGAAGCTCTTGGTTTAAGCCTGGCTCCAGCCTGGCCATTGAAGCCACTTGGGGAGTGAACCAGTGGATAGAAGACTTTTCTCTCTCTCTGTAATCTGACTTTCAAATAAATAAGTAAATCTTTAAAAATATCTAATTGTTATAAGTATCTCAGCATGCAATGTCAAAAACTTTCCTTTTGTTATTAATTTTAAAGGACACAACATAACATTGGGTACTTATTAAGGGCCAATTTTGTACTGGTTCTTGCAGATGTGAATAAGAGGGGACTTCAAAAAGTTTATGGAAAATACATATGGTGAAAAAACTAGGCACAGATTTCAAAAGTGCTTGCAAAAATTAAACTTACCTTTTGGCTCATTTTTCATAAACTTTTTAGGTACCTTTGTATCTTTTGTCCAATACCAAAGAAAACAAGTTATTTATCACTCCAAGAAAGAGTCATTTTATATGAATACAGAGGGATGAATGATATGGCCCAGAATCATATAGTTAGCTGGTAGCAGAATTAAGATACATTTCATTCCATTCTATTCCACGTAAGTAACTATCACCCAATTCTTTTCCTACACATACCTGCTTAAATGCCTACAGGACTCTGCAGTGGTCATGGATTGTTCTATATTCCTTGCACCTGTGATTTCTATAGGAGAACTGCCTTCTTTTTTTGGTGGAGGGGATTTGGATAGAGGGGATTTCTCCTTTGGTTTACTCAGACTTCCTGCTATTAATAGGATCTTACAGCCAAAATACTTCTCCATGATCTCTGGTGGTTGATTCAGGGTATGGACATGACCAAAGCCAGGCCAAAGTCCTTGCTCAAAAATGTCCACACTGGAACAAGGAAAAGGCAAAGATGCAGTGTAAGCAGCAGCCACATCTCCTACCACATAAAGGTAAAATGCTGAGAGAAGCAGAGATTTGCAGCATCAAATTCTAACTCCAGTCATTCTGAAAGCTCAGCTCAAGTCTTTCAGCATTTTTTAGCTTAAAATAATTTGGGTTGTAGTTCTGTTACTTGCAACAACAAGAAAAAAAGGCTTGGATAATAGGGATAGTCTGGGTTGAATTATCATTAGCATTTTCCCAACTGCTAAACCAAAATGGGATGCCAGGTGAACTTTTGAAATTTTGTGCCGTAAAGCACAATTTACACAAAGTTGCTGTTTCTGCTTCCAAACAATGCAGAAAAGCTCTACCCTGTTAAAGCCACTGTGAAAAACACTGCGTTCCCAATCTGTTTCCAAGACACCCTCAAAAATGTTTTCACTTATGGCAGCCCTGCATCCAGCAATATCAAGTAGCATTGTCACAAGATCGTGCTGAACAGACAATTCAACCTCCAAAGATCCAAACAGCTTCATGCTGCTGTTATAATTGCTCCCATTTTAAACATGAGGAGATTAAAGCCCAGAGAGACAAACAGGTTACTTAAGTTTTTTAACACATATTTGGACAAGTTCATTCTAGAACCTATGTCCTGGGTCATTTAGAACATTACTTTCCCCAATATGGTCTCAATAACTCGTGTCATTTATTGAGAATATTCAATGTAGAAAGAAAATGTCTTTTGTGATGAATACAAAAAGAGTAGAAGAACATTCAAGTTACATGGATATGTATTGGAATTAATCTGTCACTTGAGGAAAGGAACTAACAGACATTTACAGGACATTTTACCCAACAGCTTCAGAATACACACTCTTTTCATCAGCACATGGAATATTTTCCAGGATAGACCACGTATTAGATCACAAAACAAGTCTCAGCAAATTTCAAAAGATGAAAATCATACCAAGTATCATCTCAGACCATATAGGAATAAAACTAGAATTCAACAATAAGAACAATAGGGCACTCATAAATATCTGGAAATTAAACAAAATGTTGCTGAATGATCAATGGGTCACTGAAGAAATTAAAAAGAAAATAAAAAAGCTTCTTTAAATAAATGAAAATGAAAACACAACATATCAAACTTGTGAAATAGATCAAAGGCAGCATTTAGAGGAAAGTTTATAGTATTAAGTGCTCACATTAAAACAAGAGAAATGTCTCAAATTAAAGACCTAATGAGGCATTTTGAAGACTTAGAAAACAAGAACAAACCAAACTCTAAATCAACAGGAGGTGAAAAATAATAAAAATAACAGAAATAAATAAATTTGAAACTACAAAAAAAGAACAATAAATGAAAATGTTAGATTTTTAAGATAAACAAAATAGCTAAACTTTTAGCCAGACTAACATAGAAAAAAAGAGAAAAAGCTCAAGTAAATAAAACTAGAGTTAAAAAAGCAGACATTACAACTGATGCCACTGAAACACATAAGGTCATAAGAAACTACTATTTATAAGCTCATAAACTGGGAAAATCTCAAAGAAATGGATAAATTCCTGGATACATAGAACCTACTAAGATTAAATCAAGAAGATACAAACAACCTAAACAGACCCATAACAAGCAATGAGATTGAATCAATACACTTCCATCAAGGAAAAGTCAGGGACCTGATGGCTTTACTATTGAATTCAGCGAAACATTCAAAGAGGAAGTGATTCCAACACTTTTCAAACTGTTCCAAAATATTGAACAGGATAGG